GTCCTGCTGAGCTTTTTCTACAAAAAAGCCCTGCCTTTCCACACACACAGGTAGGCAGAAGTGAACCTTGAGAACCATTTTTGTGCTCTTTCCTTCACCTGATTTAAAATTATTGCTCTTACAATGGCATTTTTGTGCACTGCCGAATCGTCTTTAAACTGTGACTACCAGGATCCTCAGTTTCAAAGAAAAGAAAGTGTCAGAGGGAAGCTGGGTTGGTCTTCAGCAGAACAGCTAGACATGAGTCCAGTAGCACCTTGGACCAACAAGATTTTCAGGGTGTGTGAACTTTCAGGAATCAAAGTTCTGATGCCCTGAGCTGGATAGCCCAGGCAAGCCTGGTCTCATAAGAACATATGAGAGAAGCCAATGTTGGATGTAGGCCAGTGGCCCATCCAGTCTAACACTCTGTGTCACACAGTGGCCAAAACCCAGATGCCATTAGGAGGTCCACCAGTGGGGCCAGAACACCAGAAGGCTTCCCACTGTTGCCCCCCCCAGCACCAAGAAGACAGAGCATCCCTTGCCCTAGAGTGAAAGTCCCTATCTATACCTTGTGGCTAATAGCCACTGATGGACCTCTGCTCCATATGTTTATCTAATTCCCTCTTGAAGCCGCCCATGCTTGTAGCCACTGCCACCTCCCTTGGCAGTGAATTCCAGGTGTTAATCACTCTTTGGGTAAAGAAGGACTTCCTTTTATCTGTTCTAACCGGATTGCTCAGTGATTTCATTGAGTGCCCACGATTTCTTATATTGTGAGAAAGGGAGAAAAGTCCTTCTTTCTCTACCTGCTCTACCCCATGCATAATCTTATAAACCTCAATCATGTCACCCCTCGGTCATCGTTTCTCCAAGCTGAAGAGCCCCAAGCGCCTTAACCTTTCCTCATAGGGAAAGTGTTCCGACCCTTTTATCATTCTAGTTGCCCTTTTCTGCACTTTTCCCAGTGCTATAATATCCTTTCTGAGGTGTGGTGACCAGAATGGAACAGGGGTCACTGTGGGAGTGGGGGGTTATTTGTGGGTTTCCTGCATTGTGCAGGGGTTGGACTAGATGACCCTGGAGATCTCTTCCAACTCTATGATTCTATGATTCTGTCACTGGACTGCATAGACTGCTACTCTTAGGGAAACAACTTCCTTCCGTCTCCTATTTTCCTTCTCGCACACACACAAAGGAGGAGGACACGTTTCTCCCTCTTTGGCACTGCTTCTCTTCATCTGCATCCATCCCTAGCTAGACAGAACAGAAACTGTCACTGTCTCTCGGCTGCGCTATCCAGGATGTATTTCCTAAGTAAAGGATTTCTCATTTTCTTTCAAACTGATAAGTGGCTCTGTGTGACTTTGTAGTCTTACAAGCATATGCTGAACGAAGGAGCTCTGCTGCGTTCTGAGCCTTTAGTGCACTCTGCAAAACTTAGCAAGGGATCTGGACTAACACATCAGCTCTCCCAATAGATTATGGGCCCAGCTTACTGGTTTTAACTGAGAACCAGAACCATTTCAGGCTGCGAGACTATGCAGACCTGGAACTAAAGAGTTCATTCTGCCTAACAGCATCCCAAAGTGGATGCCAGACACTTTCCCACAACCACAGGGTCTGCAAACTTTTGCAAGGAATCTGGACTAACATACCAGTTCTCCCAACAGATCTAACCATGCGGGTAACATTCCATTTGACTGCGGGGAGAGGATAATTATGTTACTATGTTCTCCCACATCAAATGTTCCCAGCACATAAAAGACTTGGTTGTAACTAGGCCCTGACCTGGATAGCCCAGGCAAGCCCGATCTTGTCATATCTTGGAGGCTAAGCAGGGTCGACTCTGGCAAGTACTTGGATGGGAGACCTCTAAGGAATACCAGAGGCAGGAGGCAGGGGCAGGCTTTATTCAGCCACCTCTCTGAAGATCCTCCAGGCCCCCAGTAGGGGCCAGTCACCAGAGGTCGCCATGACTTCCAGGTGTGCACACATACTCATACTCACTCACACACATATGCATATGTACACATAAAAATACAAAAAAACTCCCACACCCTTGGTTGTAGCCTAGACTTCTTCCTGCTGTCCTGCATATTTCTGTGCAGGGTGGGTTTTTCCTCCCTTCAGTTGGGGAAGCCTTCAGACATATGCAAAGGAGTTCCGGCTACAAAAAGAACCCTGCGACACACGCACACATGTACACATAAAAATACAAAAAAACCCACATACCCTTGGTTGTAGCCTAGACTTCTCCCTGCTGTCCTACATATTTCTGTGCAGGGTGGGTTTTTCCTCCCTTCAGTTGGGGAAGCCTTCAGACATGCAGTCCCCCAGCTGCACTTGTTGGAAGGGTACAGTCCCAGGGACTTTGTAACACGTGAGTTTATGTGCACGTGCAGATCAGCTCTCACTGTGCCCACCAAAGGTTTACCTTACTGACAATGAAGAGGTCTTCCCGTTTCACAGCACCTTCTTTGATCTTCTGCTGAATGGCATTGCCGATTTCATTTTCATTCCTGTACAGGTGCGCGCAGTCGATATGGCGGTACCCGAGATCGATGGCAAGCTTAATGGCTTCTTCCACTTTTCCAGGAGGGGCCTAGGAACAATAGGACTGTTCTGAGTTCCAATCACCCACTGACACACAGACCAGCAATGACCTTCATGCAGATGTTTGTTGGAGTTTCAAGTTGCTACACTTCAGTCATTACAGAGTTAAGTGTTGTTTGTCAGGAAACAGGATGTTGCGTTACATAATGTATTCCACAGCGGGAAAGTTTGAGGGAGCTGCTTAGTCTAATGAAGTGACCTGTAGCTTTTGTATTGGTCAACCAACAACTTGTTTGTGGAAATGCTTTGATCTAGAATCCCTAACAATGTTTGATGAATGATTTTGCTAACACAACACAGTACCTTCCAACACCTGCACAAATCAGTCACTGATCACCTTTGATTCATGTCACACTTATAACATAGATCTTTGGCATCTGGTCTCCAGTGCAGCTTCTTCTCTGCGTGCAATGCAGAAAGGTTGTTTCCCCCCCCCCCCTACAAGGTTCACAGCAGGGGCTAAATGGTGATTTGAACTCAAGGTTTCCCAGAGAAACATTCAAACCAGAGCATCACACTGACTGGAATAGCACATGTGTTCAAAAACCAGTGATGGCCCAGGGCAATAAACACACTGAAAAATATCTCGGCCTGGTCAAGTTTCCCCATGAGGAAGAAATCTTTTTATTATTATTATTATTATTTTCTTTAAAAAGTGGGATATAAAAGGAAAGAAGAGGTAAGGGAAAATACAGACTCACCAAGTTTATCAAATATTATGAGGTGTTACATACAAGTAAAATCAGATGTATTATCAAATGTATTACATATTTCAAATATAGGTAAAGATAAAGGTTCCCTTGCTTGAAAGCCAGTCGAATCCGACTCTAGGGTTGCGGTGCTCATCTCCGTTTCAAAGCCGAAGAGCCAGCGCTGTCCGAAGACGTTTCCGTGGTCATGTGACTGGCATGACTAAACACCAAGGCGCACGAAACGCTGTTACCTTCCCACCGAAGTGGTACCTATTTATCTACTTGCAATGTCTTGCTTTCGAACCGCTAGGTTGGCAGGAGCTGGAACTAGAGACGGGAGCTCACTCCGTCATGCGGCATACTCGGGTCTCGAACTGCTGAACTACTGAGCTTCCACAGCCTGCAGTTCAGCGTCTTAACCCCTTGAGCCGCCGCAGCTCAAATATAGAAGCAGACAATTGTCAAACTCAGCCTTTAGTTTGCCATGACTTGGGGGTGGGAGGAAGGACTCCATTGTGAAATAATTTCTAAACTGGTTTCAGATTTTGACATTTCAGTGGCAACTGTACCTGGAAGGTCCTGTGCATATATGCCCTCCTCTAACAAGTCCTTAGATCAACAGGTATTTAATTCAGCTCTACTTTACTGACCCTGCACAATAAAACCACAGCTTTATAAACAACTCGGAGTCTTGCCCCCCGAAACATAAGATGATAGACTGCATTCCATTTCCCTTCATGCCAGAGGCAGAACTGGGAAACAGATTTTCTTGAACGGTTCTTGGTTTTGAATGCAAGTGGCCAAGGAGATAGCATTGCTATTTGGTTTTTTTTCTTAAACTATGCAGTCCCAGCCAACTATCGTGTCCTGCCAAACCTCTACAGAGGGTGAATTTTTCACCCAAATGTGAATGATCAGCAGTTCAATCAGCAACATGTTGTCTAAGCTTGAACTTCAGTACATTGCAACATTACTTGGATCTCAGAGCGAAAAGTATTAACTCCTCTGACTCAATTGTTGTGTGCACGGTTAGGATCTTGCTGGAATGGATACTCTTAAAATATCAGAAGCCTTGCAAGAGGGGAGAAGGGGCTACTTAAAATCTTTTTTTTTAATAAGTATATTTATTGGGTTTTTACATAACACACCTATATTGCAATTACATATCACTTCAACAGCAAGATTACATACAAGCTTCCCACACCTCACTCTACACAATACAACACAGGACAGCTTATCAATTGCTCATCATATACAACATTATGCTCTTAATCTTGATCTTGTGATCTTACCTATATAACAGCATTGAATAAAGACCTCTAATTCTTTCACCTTAATGATTCTCATACTGTCATACTAATAATTAATATCATTTCATTCAGTGATGTGCAACATAATTTTAACTTATTGTTAAGTTATGTTCTCCTTAATCAATCCTAGCCCCTCCTACTACATCCTGTTGGATGTTATTTATATATTTATATATTCATTTATTTATTTTCCATATTCTCTTGTTCTCTTGTTACCCTTAATTTCACACTTTATTAATATTTATATATCACATTCCCACTCCAATTTACCTTACTTCATTTCAATTACATTCTTTATCCTTTGGACTACATTCTTCACCTTGTTTTAGCAAAACTTATCTACTTAGCAAAACTTATCTACCTCCATCATAACCACCGCCCTATGACACCAACCAAGTATACCGCTTACTCATAACATAACCACAGTCCTTCTCCTATCTCTAAACATCACTACTCCTTCTATGCCACCATCATTATTTTTACTATTTTCCATCAGGGATTAATCAGTTTACTGTTTATCTTACACAGACCTATAAATCATAAATTTTTTACCCTATTTACCTGCTTTCAAATCTAAACTTCCAATCCATTCAAAACCTATTAAATTAATCAAATATAATTTTTCAACTATCTAACCCTTTCCACCAACTTATATAACACACACAAAACCCCATTACTGTTTATACAAAACCTTTAAATTCATTTTAGCTTGCCAATAGCATTATTCTAAATTCATTATAGAAAACAAAAAAAACATTAATTTTTTAATGCTATCCCATTTTTATCCCCTTTGATTCATATTCCATCTTGATTTCCCCTTAATTCCCAACAAATTAAATTTATTTTACCCTTTTCCACCATCCCATTATAAAATAATCACAACTGATAACACTAAATAGAAATATAACTAAATAGACACCTCCACCTATAATTCCAGACATAAATAAATTAATTTTTAGGTCGTTTCCCAGTTATTCCTACATCTGAATAAATCTAATTTCCCCATTTTTATATAATTTATTTTTTTCCTTTCGCATCTGCTTTCTTCTCCTTTGCCTCATCCCTTCTTGGTGACTTCGTTCTTTGTAGCTCCCTTGTCCTCCATTAATCAAATATAATTTTTCAACTATCTAACCCTTTCCACCAACTTATATAACACACACAAAACCCCATTACTGTTTATACAAAACCTTTAAATTCATTTTAGCTTGCCAATAGCATTATTCTAAATTCATTATAGAAAACAAAAAAAACATTAAATTTTTAATGCTATCCCATTTTTATCCCCTTTGATTCATATTCCATCTTGATCCCCTTAATTCCCCCAACAAATTAAATTTTTTACCCTTTTCCACCATCCCATTATAAAATAATCACAACTGATAACACTAAATAGAAATATAACTAAATAGACACCTCCACCTATAATTCCAGACATAAATAAATTAATTTTTAGGTCGTTTCCCAGTTATTCCTACATCTGAATAAATCTAATTTCCCCGTTTTTATATAATTTATTTTTTTCCTTTCGCATCTGCTTTCTTCTCCTTTGCCTCATCCCTTCTTGGTGACTTCGTTCTTTGTAGCTCCCTTGTCCTCCAGGTCTCATCCTTCTTCCCAACCTTCCTTTTTTCCCTAGCTTATTGTCTCTTTTACTTTCCCATTTCCGTCCCTTGCTTCTCTTGGTCCTTCCCTCTCTTCTATTTCCAGTTTCGGGCCTCTGTTTACTTCTTTTTTGCAGTCCTTTCCTCAGTCTTAGCTTGGCTCTAGGTGGTTTTTTGCTTGGTCTCTCATTTGTCTTTCCCGTTGATAGACATTTTGTTTCCACACAGTCCACCACCTGTATTTCACCAAAATTTTCTTCTTTATCACTCTCTCTCTTCTCCTTTTGGTCTTCCTCAAGAGCCTCCTTAACATTGTTTTGTTCCTGATCTTCTTTTCCTATTCCATTTTCTGTCTTATATAGCTTTCCCTGTATTTCTTTGTGCGCCTTTTCACAACCACTCTGAACTGCTTCTTGGACTGCTTCCCTCAAAACTTTTAAGAGTTGTTCCATGGTCATTTGCTCAGCTTCTATGTTTTCCTCTGACTCCTCCTCTTCTCCCACTGTATACTCCATTTCAGCCATATTTCCAGTTCTTATCCTACAAGGTCCCAATACTGTCTCTTTATTTTACAGTCTCTGAATCTTTGGTCCCCTTACTTTTCTCTTAGCCACTTGACAGAACCAGCACAATCACAGAGCTCTCTTTTCCCCTGAAGAAAATACTATGAGAGGCTTACAATTAAGTCCATTCGCTTGATGGCCGTTTTCCCTTTCCGTTTACGACACAGTTATTTTGGGGGAATATCTTCTCATCCAGCCCTCTCAAGATTCTTTTCTCTACTTCTATGTTGCTGTGCTGCTGCGTTTATAATCCTTCTAGACGTTGAGGAATAAAAACGGATGGTCGCGTCTGATCGAACATGGCGGCCATGTTCGTCTGTTGCTCGCCTCGGCTTTGGGGCTATTCTGGACACACACACCCGCCCTGCCGATTGCGGAGGAGGGCCAGAAAGACGCCCCCTGCTCCATCCCCCACCTCGGGGAGCTGGTCGAGCTCTCCCGACACACGAGAGACTCGAACGGAGCGAAAACAGTTCGGACGGGAACGGAGCAAGCCAAGCTCCCACCCGCGTGTCGATACGCCATACCGGAAGTCTTCCAGCTGGCTACTTAAAATCTTGAATGCCTCCCACTTGCCCCCAAATGCTCTGACTGCCCCTCCTCGAGATTTCTAGATGCCTCCCAAATAAATGAGTTAGAAAAAACAGTCCTCTGCTTTCTTCCATACCACAGGTGACCACACGGGTATTTCATTTGGTCCCATTTGTTGACTCTTCTCAGATAGATCTTGTTTGTGGGTTTGCGTTTTGTTTTTAAAATTGTTTTATCAATATATCTAATTCTCAACATGGCCAGATTTGTGGATACTTAAACATGGAGA